AGAGAAAAAAGATGCCGCCTACAGGGCCACGCTGCGATCAGGCGCAACGCGCGCTATGTGGGACCGCTATAGGGATCTGAAGAGGGAAGCGAGACGTATTTGCCGCAACAAGAAGAGAGAGGCCGAAATACGTGAGTGCGAAGAGCTTGAAATGCTGGCCGACAGGAGGAATGCCCGAAAATTTTACCAGAGAGTTAGGCGACTTACGGAAGGTTTAAAGACCGGGGCGCACTCCTGTAAGAACAATAATGGCGACCTAGTACTAGAGCGTACTTAAATTATGGAGGGAACACTTTTCCGCCCTACTAAATGGTAGCAGCACGGAAAGTTGTGGAGAAGAAGAACCTGAGCCCGCAGTCGATGATGACGGAGTCGACGTTCCACCGCCTGACTATGACGAGGTACGTATAGAAATCACGCGGCTGAAAAACAACAAAGCCGCTGGAGCTGACAGCCTGCCAGTTGAGCTATTCAAGTACGGCGGCGAGGAGTTGATAAGGTGCATGCATCAACTCTTGTGCAGAATATGGTCAGATGAACGCATGCCCGACGACTGGAATTTAAGTGTGCTCTGCCCAATCCACAAGAAAGGTGACCCCGCCATTCGCGCCAACTACCGCGGGATCAGCCTTCTAAGCATAGGTTACAAGGTCTTATCGAGCGTATTGTGTGAAAGACTGAAGCCCACCGTCAATGAACTGATTGGGCCTTATCAGTGTGGCTTTAGACCTGGCAAATCCACCATAGACCAGGTATTCACAATACGCCAAATCTTGGAAAAGACCCGCGAGAAAGGGATCGACACTCACCACGTATTTGTCGACTTTAAAGCCGCTTTTGACAGCACTAAAAGGAGTTGCCTATACGCCGCTATGTCTGAATTGGGCATCCCCTCAAAACTCATACGGCTGTGTAAAATGACGTTGAGCAATACCACCAGCTCTGTCAGAATTGGAAAAGACCTCTCCGAGCCGTTCGCCACAAAACGGGGTTTCAGACAGGGCGACTCCCTTTCATGTGACTTCTTGAATCTGATGTTGGAGAAGATAATAAGAGCTGCAGAACTGAACCGCTCAGGAACAATTTACTACAAGAGCGTGCAAATACTGGCTTATGCCGATGACATCGAGATCATCGGTAGCAAAAACCGCGAAGTCTGTTCTGCCTTTTCCAAGTTGGATAGGGAAGCAAAACGCATGGGTCTGGTGGTAAACGAGGACAAGACGAAGTATCTCCTGTCATCAAACAAACAGTCAGCACATTCGCGCCTTGGCACCCACGTCACTGTTGACAGTTACAATTTCGAGAAAGTAGAGAATTTCGTTTACTTGGGAACCAGCATTAACACCGATAATAATGTCAGCATTGAAATCCAACGTAGAATCACTCTTGCCAACAAGTGCTACTTTGGACTGAGTAGGCAATTCAGGAGTAAAGTCCTCTCTCGACGTACGAAAACCACGCTCTATAAGTCACTGATCATGCCCGTGCTGGTATATGGCGCAGAAGCATGGACAATGACAACATCCGATGAGGCGGCTCTTGGGGTGTTTGAGAGAAAGATTTTGCGGAAGATTTACGGTCCTTTACGCGTTGGCGACGGCGAGTACCGCAGACGATGGAACGATGAGCTGTATGAGCTTTACAACGATATGGACATAGTGCAGCGAATTAAAATACAGCGGCTCCGCTGGCTTGGTCATGTCGTTCGAATGGACACCGACGCTCCAGCTCTGAAAGTATTCAACTCGGAACCCGCTGGTGGTAGCAGAGGAAGAGGGAGGCCCCCACTGCGATGGAAAGATCAGGTGGAGAAGGACTTGGCTTCACTTGGCGTTTCCAACTGGCGTCAGTTGGCACAGAAGAGAAACGACTGGCGTGCTTTGCTGAACTCGGCCAAAATCGCTTAGGCGGTTACAGCGCCAAAAAAGAAGAAGAAGAAGCTCTTGAAATTGCGCAAACATATTTGCCACTTCTTTCTTTCCGAAGCTGGGCAGCTGGTTTGGCTTGAAATATATTGTTCCACATCTCTGAACTTGCATTGTAGTAATTTAGACGGGCTTTTAAAAAATATTTCACACAAATCCCGATTTTTAATGGATAAAGGGTTCCGTCTGGAATAAAAGTTAACAGTATTGAAATAAAGAATAAATACATACGGTATATACCATTCTCTTCCATTAGTTTGAATTTCTCTTAAAACACTCTCACTTGGAACTTATTTTTGATAAAATAATGACAAAATGTGCCGGACAAAAATTAATAAGTTCACGTTAAAACATATTTTTCTCAAAAATGCGCAACGTTCTTGTGCAAATCTTTTAAGTTTACTTATGTATAAAGACTTGCGGTTATAACAAAAAAAGATTCGGAAAAAGAACCTTGCGCATTTTGGAAAAAAACGAATTTAAAAATTCGCCATGAAAAAAAATTGTTTATTAAAATATTTTCCTTATATCTCAGAAGCCATTGAAATTATGTAATGATGTAAAGTTGTAAAACAATCAGCACACATTGCTTATTCAACGACTTAGTTCCTTCTAAACTAATAGTAACCTTAAACATAATAAGACAGCCTTTAATAACACATATGAACTCGCCTTCGATATCGGAAAAAAAAATTTCTGACTGAAAAGTTAACTTTGAGCCGTTGTACGCGGCAACTGGTAATAGTTCGGAACCCAATGTTTATACATGAAATTTGCTACTTCGTTATGACTCTGCTGGTATATATTTTTTATCTTAAATACCAACTTTCGAAAAGTGAGTTTTGAGCATCGCCCTCTATGAATAAGCCCTAGTGTGCAACGGTCGCAACCAGCCTTGCCATAAGTTAAGATTTATCTTCATAATGACGATTTTTTGGGCTGTTTTTTTACTCAAAATCTTCAAATAAAGTTTGACGTTTTGTCCACAAACATTATAATCTTCGTGCAATCTTATTTTTACAATTTCATAGTTAGTGAACAAATAAGAATTACATACAATGTTTTTTGCTATACGGTTACAACGAAAATAAACACAAAACAGAATGAAGTTGTATAACATGCCCATTAACGTTGCGACAAGTTATAGAACTTCAAAAATCAAAATTTGTTTATCGTTCATGCAACCAAGGGAGAACTTCATTCAACGGCCCCACAAACGTTGCAATCTGCTTAGATCACAACATCCTCCAGTTGAACCAACGGTCGCAACGTTTATGGCTTGCTTGTAAGTAGGTTTAATTTTTTAATTTATTCCCTCTCCATGTTCATATATATGTTAACAATTTTAACTTAAAGTTTAAAAATCTTACATCATACACAAAAATCCTTATTTTGAAGATATTTTTAGTGTAAAATTTTGCTTTTTAAAAAAATCTTTTTTTTTTTAAGATTTTTAGTAAAAAAAAACAGCCCAAAAATCGTCCTTGTGAAGACAAATCTTCACTTATGGCAACGCGACCGATGGTTCAACTCGATTTGTAATCACAAACATTACAATTTTCGTGCAATCTTATTATACAATCTTATTTTTACAATTTCATAGTTAGTGAACAAATAAGAATTACATACAATGGTTTTTGCTATACGGTTACAACGAAAATAAACACAAAATACAATGAAGATGTATAACATGCCCATTAACGTTGCGACGAGTTGTAGAACTTGTCGGAAAATCAAAATTTGGTTATCCAAGGTAACCAAGGCAGAACTTCATTCAACGTTGCAATCTAGATCACATCATCCAGTTGAACCAACGGTCGCAACGTTTGTGGCTTGCTTCAAGGTTTAATTTTTAAATTTATTCCATCCATGTTTATATATATGTACATACATAAATATGGCGGCCGCTGTGGTATAGTGGTTAACAGCGTGCGCTACCATTCCGAAGGGCCTGCGTTCAAGCCCAGTTTCCCACCAACATCAAAAAATAAAAAACAAACAAGTTTTTTCTAATACGGTCGCCCCTCGGCAGGCAATGTCATACGGTAAACCTGGCATTACGTTAATGTTCCGACATTGCTGGATCGAATTCTAGTCCGTCTAATTCTGCAGACTGATCAAGCTCACTTTCTTATGCTTAGGGTCTAGCAAATTTGCACCTTAATGTATCAGTTTTATGGTTTTTTAATCGTGTATTGAATTTGGTTGTAAGCTCTGTTTTTTCGGCATCATTCAACATCGAAGTTATAGATAACTCCAGTTGAAGTCTACTTTTGATATCTTCTGGATATATTTTCCATATATACGGACTATTTTGAATGAATATATTGAGTGGTCTACTTTATTAAAAATCGTATTGTAGAGTTTTTAGATGCAGGGGGCCACATATTTTATTCAATTTGTATCTACTCGAAATTAAGTAAACACCCGGGTACGAAAATGGGTAATTACCCGGCGTTGGGTAAATACCTATGTGTAAACCCATCACTAGCCATACCCGTCCGGAGTCGGCGTAAAACTGTAGGTCCCTCCCGTTCGTGTGACAACATCAAGACGCACGCCACAAACCGGAGGTGGCTTACATATTGTGTAAGAGCCAATCTCTTATTATTATTACGTGTTTGTTTAAAGGTAACATCGGGCATGAAAGGGTTAAATACACACATATACATATGTACACACAGGCATAAATATACACTCACATTGAAATCAAAAATGGTGTTTTACACAAATTTGCAAAAAAAAACATTAATAACAAATACAAAACAAAAATGAGTAATCATAAAACAGCCTGACAATGACAACAACGCAAGCCCACCGGACGTGTCCATTTGAATTTATTGAATAAAGAATGAATGGCATAGAAATAAATTAAATAATTTGAATATATGCACAGACTTACATACATATGTACATGTTTACATACGCAATGTACCAAACATACATAAGCATTTTTGATGGGCGAATAAAATGCAAATGGGGTTATGTGAGTGAAACGATAACAGCTGGAGGAAGAGAGAGAAATAATATAGTTAATGTTTAAGAGGTATTGTCAAACGTTGGGAGTTGTTCGTCTGGTAATGAGTCATGCGGTGCTTTATTGTCAATGAGACGATTACATGTAGAATAAATCATTTTCTTAGTTATAAAATCAATTCGCAGAAATTTTTTAAGTGAAGTCCAGTGACGTTTGCAACTATGTACATAAGTACTACGTAGGTCTACTTATTTTCGAACAAATATAATTTTGATTGGCCGGGAGACATAAGGTGTTAAGTTTACTTACTGTTATAAAAATATTATAACACATTCCTCAAAACAGTTGGCATGGAGACTACAGCTACGAGTGAGGATTTAGTTATTAAAAATGTGTGATAACAAAATTTTTCAATTTTGTTTTGGTGGTAAAATCTCATTATTTTTGCTAACTAATAAAATATTAGATTTTTTTTTTAATCTTAACTTTACGTAAGGCTAGGAAATTTTGTCTAGGTCCGGCTATGATACAGCTCTTATAAAATAAAAGTATTATATCTGGTCAGCTAACGTCACCATATTTTGTGTTGCGATATTTTTCGAAACTGTTGCAAAACTTGATTTTTAGTAGGTTATCTTGATACTGTCAGTAGTGAAATATTTACCTTTTGGAGGAAAAACTCAATGAAGAGATAAAAGAAAAGGCTATTTACAGTTTGCAAAGATTATATTTAAACTACATGTGACAACCATAGAACTCTCGGTCCTCAAGGGTTAAAATATACATTTTTTTTTTGTACAAGAATGTGGGAATCATATGCCAGTCAATAAAAGATTCATGGTTTTTAAATCATCCACTTATTTCGCCGTAATTTGTTTTGGCCAGAAAAACAGGCATTTATACCATAGTGCATTGTAAGTATTACGCCGATGGTTCAATGCATGGATGTATTTAACGTTTACCGGAAAAATCAATTAAATTTTTTATCGTTTAGGTGATTATCAAAATATTTCTATTTTGTTTTTTAACGAAAAGCTTACAGTGAGCTGCCAATGGTTTACAGCAACAAGTTTTCGTTGATTTATTTTGTTTCAATGTTAATAAATTGCTATTTTTTTTTTTAGCGTTAACGGTTGAGTTTTGTTTCGTTAATTTAGCTCTGAAACGTAACGAGGTTGTTTGGTTGAGTTAATTTTTCACATTAACGAAACGAAACGATATCGTTGCGTTTGTTAGGTATCCCTGGTTCTATGGCATCATCGACTGCCGTAACCTTTTTCCTTTCTATTATATAACCTTGGGTATTGTGTATGTATGTACACGGAGATGCATTATAAAAAGGCTATGGCTTCGAAAAATCGATTCGTCGGAATATTTTTCTTATTTTTTTTTATGTACGTTACCGGACAACTGTAGACCACATGAACGGTTCTCGATATTTCTTAATTATCGAAGAGTTTGAACGTCAAGAGTGGTTCCTTACTAATTTGGTTTAGTTCCGACGATTGGAACATGAAGAACAAACGGTACTTCTAAACTTTGTAGTGTATTTCCTTAACAGTGGCACCTAAAATAACTCAATTATTTTGCCGTTTTATTTTTAATTTCTTTCTTGTTGTATGATAAATTATCTAATTTCTACTTAATTTATTGACGGGGTTTACAAGGAGAAATTTCTTGATTTCAACACGATTTGTCCATAAATTAAGAACTAACTCTAAATTAAGTTAGTGCGAACCTGTTTTAAGATTGTAATCAAATGAAGTTGGTCTCAATTTATTTGTACTTATTACTTTACAGATAAAAAAAACGAATTATACACGCGATAACTGCCGAACAAATGGTTATTAAATACCACTTTTTCTTTTGTTTAGATTAACAAATCAGCACCATCTGCAAATCAACAAAGCGAAGGAAACAGTATGTAAGTATGTGCTTCAACATTTTACCAACAATCGAAATCACAGACTTGCCTACTTTAATTCTATGAGTGTGTAACATATTATTATTTTTTATTTTAATCAGTGCATAACCCTCTCTACAACCATGCAGTATGCAACAACACCAACGAATGCGAGCAGCGGACCATGCTTTGGACTCGACATACATATGTACATATGTACATACATATCGTCGTTCAAAGTACAAAACCGCGTAACGTCGTTCTGCAAAACCGCGTAACTAACATTTTTGCCAAAAATTGGATTTGCTCACACAAGCTCTTGACTCAATCCTTATCCATTTGTCCTGAAATATACTAGCCAGAAATGCGATTGCTTTATAATAAAGAGAACCATTTTGAAATACGAGTGGTTTTGCTATCTAGAAAATAATTTATGCAACCTCACATACGCGGTTTTACATTATCTTGATACGAGGTTTTGTACTTTAAACGATGATGTGTTTCAATGCTTTTCCAGATAAACAATAAAATTCATTATTTGATGGCAGCACTATAGTTCCCTACTTTTATTAGATATTGTAGACCCATACAGTAGGCCACAAGATTATTCACGTACAGAGTACTTAGACGAAACATTTACTTATTTAGTTTCAATTTAAATTTTTTGTGTTCTTTGTTTTACGTTTAACCTTAACTAACGCGAACAAGCAATAACTGGACTCAAAAACCATTTGACGCGAAAGAAATATTGATGTCAGTTAGCAATTCAATACTAATTGATACCGAAAACTAAAATAATTTTGAGATCAAAGCTGCTGAACCGATTTGGTTCATTTTTAAAAACAATAAAAAAAAATCTGCTCGACAGGTGGCGTTGAATTCGAAATATTACTAAAAATCGTATTTATGGTCTCCTTTGGCTAATATTCGAAATGCATATCCCAGCGTTAAGAAAAATTATTTGGCAAAAGCTTTATCCGCTAATTTGATTGGAGTCGAGATATTATTTATTTCTTATTAGGGCCAGCTAGTGAGAAGGAGAACGGCTGGTGTGCTATGTGGAACTCGATCAATTAATTTGTTAACAACACAGGTTTACAAAGAAAGTTTCTGCATATTGAACCAAACCTCTATATCCCTATGTTATTCAACGCGCTCAATGCGAATCCGAAGTATGTTAGTCTCCACAAGTACTGAAGCGAATTTGTTCAAAATTGATGTTTGTAAAACCACCTCTACTTATCATGTAACGGTAGTCTCCGGAAAGGTGAAAAAGCTTTATTTAATACGTGCGCCGGGTATTTAATGTTAGAGTTCGCTGGCGAATGAATTAAATATAATGTAAAAAAAAGCAAATGGCGCGCCAAACCTACAATAAAAAAGTAAGTGCGGCTGGGCAACACTGGAGAAGTGAAACTTACGTTACATGCATATCTATTTTGTCTCATAACCAATATACATACATACATATGTGCATAAATACATACATCTGCTTTTGCTTAAGGTTATATTTTTTGTCTTTTTTGTATCTAGCTCCCTACCTCTAACCCTGTTCGTTCTAATTACATTTATGTTATTCTGTTTTCCTTTATCTTCATTTTTATCACAAATCGATGATAAATTCTATAAAAATGTCGATAGCGAAACCGATAATAATATTGGTAGAAAAATCTATTGGAAACTCGATAAAAATTTCGAAAAAATATCCATAACAAAATCGATAAAAATATTGATAAAAATATCCATAACAGAATCGATAAAAATATCGATAACAAAATCGCTAAAAATATCCCTTACAAAATCAATAAATATCGATAACAAAATCGATAATAAGTTCGATAAATATCAATAAATTTCGATAAATATCGATAAAAAATCGATAAATATCGATACAAAATCGATAAATATCGATAACGAAATCGAAAAAAATATCCATGACGAATTCGATAAAAATATCGATAAACAAATCGATAACAATATCCATAACAAAATCGATAAACATCAATAAAAAATCGATAAATATCGATAACAAAATCGACAAATATCGATAACAATATCGATAGCAAAATCAATAACAAAATCGAAAAAAATATCGATAGCAAAATCGATTACAAAATCTATAAATATCGAAAACAAAATCGATAAATATCGAAAACAAAATCGATAAATATCGATAACAAAATAGATAAATATC